CAAGAATGCTACCCTGAGGAACTCCTGCTCTAACAGGTAGTCGATTAGATTTGGAATTTTGGTAATTTACCTGCAGAGTTCTGTCAGTTAAATAATTCTGAACTAATTTCATAATATAAAGGAGAAAATTAAACTTTTTCAATTTAGCAATCAAACCTTCATGCCAAACACTATCGAATGCTTTTTCTATGTCTAGAAGAGCAACTCAAGTTGAGTGGCCTTCAGATTTGTTTGAACGAATTAAATTGGTAACTCTTAAGAGTTGATGAGTAGTTGAATGCCCATGGCGAAATCCACACTGCTCATCTGCAAAAATTGAGTTCGTATTGATGTGAAGCATCATTCTATTCAAAATTAACTTTTCAAAAAGTTTACTTATTGAAGAAAGCAAACTTATTGGGCGGTAGCTAGAAGCTTCAGCTGGATTTTTATCCGGCTTCAAAATTGGAACAACTTTTGCATTTTTCAATTTATCAGGAAAGTATGCCAAATGGAAACATCTGTTAAATAATTTTACCAAGAAAGACAAGGTACTCTCTGGGAGTTTTTTGATGAGGATATAGAAAATTCCATCATCACCTGGAGCTTTCATATTTTGAAACTTTTTAGTTATAGACCTTACTTCGTCCAAATCAGTCCCCCAGGAATCATCAAAAATATTTTCCCGCGAGAGAAAATATTCCGATAATCCCGAGCAACCTGATCCTCAATAGGACTAGTAAGACCCAAACTGAAATTATGGGAACTCTCGAATTGCTTAGCAAGTTTCTGAGCTTTTTCCAAATTTGTGATCAAAATTTTACCACCTTCTTTAAGCGCTGGAATAGGCTTTTGAGGTTTTTTCAAAATTTTTGTGAGTTTCCAGAAGGGTTTGGAACTCGGGTCTAATTTAGAAATATTATTTTCAAAAGTTTTGTTCCTCAGAATCGCTTTTTAATTTGTTTTTGCAAATCCCGCCAGATAACCTTCATGGCAGGATCGCGTGTTCTTGATATTGTCTCCTACGGACATTTTTAAGACGGATCAAGATCGTCGTCTATTATAATTGAATCGAATTTAACCTCGCATTTTGGTACCGAGGCAGCTCTTGCTGCAACTATAGAAGTAGTCAGAGATTCAAAAGCATAATTAATTTCATCTTTGGTTTGCAAAGGAATGTTTGGATCGAAGTTATATTCCATAAATGTTCAATACTGCTCCCAATCAGCTCTATGGTAATTGAAAGTAGAGCTGTTGGGATTACAAATTATTTCTTGGGATATTTCAAAAGTTACTGGAAGGTGATCAGAACCGAAGTCAGCATGGGTAACCAGTTGGCTACAAAGTTGACATGAATCAGTTAAGACCAAATCAATAGTGGAGGGATTTCTTGCAGAAGAAAAGCATGTTGGGCTGTTTGGATATTGAATAGTGTAATAACCTGCAGAACAATCATCAAACAGAATATTACCATTGGAATTGCTTTGAGCATTATTCCATGAGCGGTGTTTTGCATTAAAATCACCAATAATGAAGAATTTAGACCTATGACGGGTAAGTTTCTGGAGGTCACCCTTGAGAAAATTCTTTTGCTGGCCTACGCATTGGAATGGCAAATAGGCAGCTATAAACGTAAGTTGTCCAAATTTTGTTTCAACAGAAACTCCCAAAGTTTCAAAAACTTTGGTTTCAAATGAAGAAAGAATTTTATGTTTGATTCGTCTATGAATAATGATGGCAACGCCACCACAGGGTCCATCAAGACGATCATTTCTATAAATCAAGTAATTTGCGTCCTTCTTAACCTTATGGGCAGGTTTAAGGAACGTTTCAGTTATAACGGCAATATGCACGTTATGAACTCTCAAAAAGTTAAATAGCTCGTCTTCATTATCTTTAAGAGATCGAGCATTCCAATTAACAATATTTAATGCTTTAAAATCCATTACTGAATTTTAAAGTCATGACAATATTATTTGCAAATTTTACTCCAGTTTGAATAGCATCAAACATGGAGTTAGATTTAAGCATATCAGAAATCATGTCAATTAATGAATTCTGTAAAAATTCCATTTTGGGGGCAGTAATGCTTCCTAAGTCAAAATTGTCAAAATTTCCGTTAGAACGTTGGTTAGTATTTTGATTTCTACCCGCTGCAATAGCAGCATAGGTAGCTCCATTAACTCGCTGAACATTGTTAGCAGCGAGGGGAGTAGGTACAGATGAAACATTTGAAGCAGGGGTGATATTTGTACCTACGGGTACGAATGTAGAATTTGTTCCTTGCTGACCGTTGTTAACAGCAGAGGAATTTGTACCTGGTCGGAAACGTGGAGCGTTTCTTACCTGTCGGTTAGAACGAGATTGTAGGATCGCTTTGCGAGTCTTACATTCCCAAAAATTGGATTTGTGGTTTTCATCACAATTTGAACATTTAAATTTCTTAGGATCTTCCTTCACAGGACAGTCGTCCTTTGCGTGAGAGGAATCACCACAATTCATGCATTTAGCTGGCATGTAGCAATTTTTAGTTCCGTGACCCCATCCCTGGCACTTACGGCACTGAGTGAGGTTTTGGATATTTCCTCCAGTCTTCCTGAAGTGTTCCCACTTCACTCGGACATGGAGCATAAGGCTAGCTTTTTCTAAGGCCTTAAGGTTGTTTAGTTCACTAGACTTGAAGTGAACTAAATAAAAATCATTAGAAATACCGTTGCGCGAATCGCCAGGACGGGATTTCATTTTCATTTTGATTACTTGGAGTGGCACAACTCCAAGTAATTTTGCCAGTTCATCTTTGATCTGATCCAGGGATGACAACCTTGAACACACGTTCAGTTTTGGTGTCGTAAGTAAAAAAATTGTGATACTTGAGAAGACATTTAAATCCGTCCAAGGTTTCAGCCAATACACGGCATTCACCCCGACGTCCAATTTGTAGAGAAAACTTAACTTTCACGAAGTTCAAAAGTTCCATGCGAAGAGCATGGAAATCGGAAGTGGTTATCACAATAGGGGGAATCTTTTCCTTCTTGGCATTAAGCCGGTAAAGTTTACTAGAATTTTTCTTGGATGATGGATCATTCTCATCATCCGTGAGCAAATCAAATTGATTACTCAAATTAATTTTTTCAGAAGGGGGGTCAAGAGTTTGCCCCTTTCTTTTGCGTTTAGGCGCCATGGCGGCAGTAAATTTTTATCCAAATCGACTTCCAAGCAGATTACTATAAGAATCAGAACTAAGACTAAAATGTAAATGATCAATCTTGATATGCTACATTATGAGAAACTTGATCGAAAAAAAGCTACCTATCCAGCAACAATTCGTTCGCATCTTATATTATCGACCAACCCTAAACGAGGTTTATGTTTCCTGTCAAATGAAACGATTAAACTACTATCGTTCATTTTTTTTCCACTCCTCGCAAAGGTGATGATGACGAAACAAAATGCAGGACTTATTAGACTCACGTCACTTCCTTTCAGCTAACCAAATCGGTCACGCCATCTTAGTGCCAATCGCTTCTGCATGCCCACAGTAATAGGTATCAACAATTAATTTTCAACTCGTTAAAAGCACACCCAATGACAAAGGTAGCATATCAAGCTTGGATAACATTGTATCACATTTGATGAACATTATAATGCACTTAGCGATTGGAACCTTACAAATGCACTTCAAAGTCGATGGCAAAGATTAATGAAAATTTCAAACTTCGACTGACGTTGCATTTATCAAACAGAATGTTATCTATCTACCATGTCAGTTGGATAGGAAGCAAAAAATCGATGAAAGCGAAATGATGGTCTACGAACATGCATTACATTTCGTGGTAGACACGTAGGTCATCAATAATAGATTATTCTTGGAGAAAGCACTAATATTCTATGATTGCAGTAAACGGGGATAAGCTACGCACGGGACGGGACTCGATATACATATTGTGTCATTCGATTGCTATCATGGGTAATGTTTTGCAGGGCTATTATCCGGATTTGAAAGTTGTTGTGTTATTGTGAAAGCTCAGCATGCAATTATATCCACCTTTCTATGTGGCCAAGGACGAATCAATGTTCTGGTGACATACATACTTAGGAATATTCCGTCCGAGGTCGCCTTACGTTCAACCAACAAAGGGAAATTCAATAACTTTGTTGTCGGTGGGAACAAAGAGAAGTAAAGTTAATTTATTATTTGCCTCGTTATAGAGCGACACGCCATTGATTCGGTCAATTTCAAATACGACCAAAATGAGTCCCATAATCTGCTTAATCAATCTTGGATTTAGTCGAAAACAAAATCTTCAAACTAGTAGTACTGAAAGTTGTTCATCTGTTCACCATTGTGTCTGTGCCATCGGTTGCATTTGTGTATGAATCAGAAACAGCATCAGCCCCAAGCAGAGAGCGAGAGAGCCAAAAGGTGATATCCAAAGAATAATATCTACCGTGGTGTTGCTTGCATTGCCCATATGGACGTTTTGTTGTTGTTGCATTTGTTGCTACCACCATCGCATCTGCCGGTGGTGTGCTGTAGCGTGGAAGAGCAGTTCCACGCCAAATGACGAATCGGAAAAACTCGTCCTTCTCCGATCTGCATAAAACTTTGAATAATTGTGTGTTATGGGCAATCATTCACTTTTTTGCAAAAAAATCTGCCATTTTGGATCTTATAAATTTTCAATCAAAAACGACATTAGCGTGCATCAATTTTCATTAAAAAATGTCAAAGACGCCATTTTGAAAAAATAGAAGATCCAAAATGGCCGAATTATTCATAACAAACAATTACGCAAAATTGCATGCAAATCCGAGAAGATCGAGTAAAACATTTTTTTTTTTGCTATTAGGCCTGGAACTGCCCGGAAACGAAGCACACACTCACGTGACGCGCGCCCGGCTTTCTGAGTTGTTGTAACGGAGTGGTGGCTAAGAAAACTAGTTCTCATTCACGATCTACGCTTTCGGCGGTTCGGTCTAGTTTTTTTTTCTCATCAAGTGTTCACAGTTAAAGTATTTCGGAAGTAAACGGTGTTAATCGAGTGCATTAGTGCTGCTAACAGGTGTTCCCTCTGGAAAGCGACGGTGACGTGTAGTCGGTGAAAAACTTTGATAAAGAACAATCCGTTCGTTTTTTTCTTGATCACAAGCGAAAACAAGGAGCCATTTTTCATCTGTGGGGCGTACCATTGTGTAAATATCTTTATATTACTCATAAAACTAGTTTCCTTTAATTTGTGTTAAACAGTGGAATTTAACAGAGTTACAACAGCGCAAGCAAGTCACCGATTCATCTGAATAGCTCGCTAAGTGACCTTGATACGCGCGAAGTGATTCACGGCATGTCGTCAACTGCTTACTGAACTCCATGCATCATTCGCCGCAATGTACGGGCACGACAAGCAAATGGCAATTCCAAACAGAAAATTTTATTTTCCATTTTGGGTTTCTCTTCAAGCCAAATGAGCAACACAGCTGGGTTTTGCACGCTTCAATCTTGGTGCAAGATTGAAAGTCGCACATTTTCGTTCCAGAAGGGGTAGAATAAAAAGATAAATCGCATATCAAATACCTTGTGCTAAATTAGCTTTGATCGGATAATTAAACAAACAACGTGTCGAAGAACTTCCTATGCGTTGTCGACTCTACAAGGCTTCTTCTTGTTACCGATATCGGCATCGTAGAGGAAGATTGAAAACCCAGAGCGATTCGGTTCGGTTGATGGAACAAAATTTATTTCGCGCTTGGCCGGTTTTACCCTTTTGTACTGATTCATCCGGCAGCTATCAGACTGGTATACTTACGAAAAGTTCCAGTGGAAGATCGCGCTTAGAGTGCTTGCTGTGTGTTGAAATAAATAGATCTTAATCAACGTCGAAAAGCTTTTGAAAATTGTTCAACTCTTACGAAACGGATTGTACATCTGCGACAAGCATTCTGTGTAAAAATGGGCGACTGACATACTGCTGATGAAATTTAATTTTGCTCTAGATTTTACAGTTTGATCCTGGCTTTGAAAGCTTAGTTTATGATTTTTTGCTCCCTGAAACCTGTCACTTAGCTATCAATTTGACGAATTGGTTTCGAGTCCTATACTGAGGCAAAATAAAAACTTATGAGCTGGACAGTTTTAATTCTAATCTAATCCAACACCAGCACAGCCAGTTCTTGAAAGCATCCTCCATATACCTCCATCATTTGTCTTGTCTATTTGATACATGTTACACATTAGAAATAAGCAACACATATTAAAACGGCCAGACCCACTGAGCGGCATTTAAGGGGCAAGATGATTCAGAAACATCGGGCCTGTTTGAATCTAAGATTTGAACACGATGCTTCAGAATCCAATAAATGGATGAAATGTGGACATCTCGTACCGTACGTTTCGTTGTTATGTAATTTATAAATGGTTGGACGTTGGGAGCAGCTAGTCTAAAAAGGTTAAGTAATGCTCCACTTCTTCTGGTGGATGGGACATGAGTACTAACTCTTATCCTAGCCCTATATGGCATATAGCGCCAATACTCGCTTTCTGAAAGGAGAAGGAAAGACATAAATTAAGAAAGCTACGTTGTGGATTTGCATACACATTGTCTAGATCTCAACACACAGCTTGTTATCAAATATAAATTTAAATTGGCCACAAAATATGGAATGATCTCACCGATCTATCAAAAATGGCAAGCTGCAAATACAGAAGAGCAGCTCCTTCTTTCTCAGCTCGGAAACAGAAATACGCCTGCACTGCTGCTGGTTTTCGAATCTTCAGCTTACCGCTGTTCCGAACATCCAGAGGCAACCAAAATCATAAAAGCACCATTACATACCACAACCCGTCAATTTTCCTCTCGAACCGCGCACTGAACACTGAATCCTAATTTATATCCTTTCGCATTAAAACAAGACTATTTCAAAAAAGCTCAAAATCTATTTAAAATACGTCGAGTATCGGAAATGATCGACAAAATACGACCGGTCAAACAAACACATCCAGCCTTATAAGCTGGACAATTTTGATTTCATAAAACGCTTATGAATTCCATAAGTACGATTTATACACTGCCCTTTTCAGCATAGCAAGCTGAGAAACCGCTGTTTTAGTTTATTTGTCGCCTTGAGCACTTATGGATAGGTCAACATAGTGATGGTACTTGACAATCGATTCTACGGTATAACTAAAAACGCACAGAACAGTCATGACTTATACATTCCATGAGCGCGACCTATAGATGATTATTATACTACGAACTACTACGATTTGTTTATAGACCTGAGTACAGTTCCGTACGCTACAATCTGAACACTGAAAGTTAAATTCCAGATTATTGAATTTCATAGAACCGTAAACCGGAGGCAAATTTATCACTGTTTAATGTAAATAATGAATTAAATTTCTACAAAAAAAGAACATTTACTAACTAATGGTATTAAAAGCAGTAGCTATGAGGACCAGCGTTGCCAGATATACCGATTTATCGGTATTTATACCGATTTCCGAACCAGATACCGATATACATTGCCTGCCCGCACTTAAATTTCAGAGAAAATTTTTGTGAGAAACTTGTATCTTTTTCAATACCTCAAAATTCTAAACAATCATCTCTAAAGATGCCTTATTAGACTGATGCATAATTTGACTTTTTGGTTTCAAATCGGGTCACGATTAGCCTCCCAAAGTTACAACTCATTTGGTTAGAAACAGACATCGCACAAGCCATTTGAAGTTTACATGTAAATTACTATGAGAAATCTCAACTTTTTGTTCATTGCCTTCTAGTCTTTTTCCATATTGAGCTACGAAATAGTTCGATAGCCATTCTTATAGAAAATTTTCTCAGCTATAACTTTGCTGAAGATCGTTTCTATGGAAAACGAGACAGGAAAAAGTTATTAATTATTTAAGAGAATGGTAAACTTATGACATGATCAAGCAGCTGCTCTGTACGCAACACTGTATTTTTCAGTGTGACATAGTAGCCATGATTTTTGTGTCCTATTAAACGCCTCAGAGACACCAATGTTGCCTGCTGAGCAGTTGATTGAGCATGATCATAAGACATCAGCGCATTGAACCATTGATAACATTCGATCCTTGCATTTAATCAAAAAGTGGTCTTGAGTAAAGTTGTAGCTGGGAAAATTTCCTACAAGTACAGTTGAAAGCTTTTGAAGCAGACCGATATGGTGAATTATTAGATAGACATGAACAAAAATCTTGGTTTTACCATAGTAATTCCCGTACAAACTTTAAATGGTTTGTGCCATCTCAGTTTCTCACCAAATGGGTTCAAATTTTGAGAGGTTAGTCAGGATCCGATTTGGAATCGTTTAAGTATTGTGGAGCGAAAATTTCAAATTTTGCATCACTCTAATGCCTTATGCTTGATACTCTTTCGACTAATGTTAGCATTTCCTCACCGTTTTTGGCTACCCATCAATCGAGCAAATAGTCGATGGCTCGTTTCGGTAATTCCTAGGGAATCGCGAAATATTGTATAAACATTATTTAACTCACGGAAGTTTTTATTCATTTTTAAACTTCCTAAAATTTCATCCAACTTTCCCTGGAATTTTCTTCCACCTTACCTTGGAAGCTTCTTCAGCCTTCGCTCGAATGGTTCTTTCATCTTCTCCCGCCAGTTTTTTTCAATTTTCCTGGAACTTCAAGGATGCTATCAGATTTTTATTGCGGATCCACACTAGCTGCAGGAACATTTAAGAAGTTCTGAAACTTCAGAAAAGTCCAGGCTTTTGTGTAAGTTTTGATAAATTTAAGACAGTTTCCATTAACTTCTGTTAAAATTCGAAAACCCGGAAATTTCAGAAAAGTCCAGCGAACTCTAGTGAACTTAGGGAAACAACATAAATATTTTGGAAACTTCACAAGTCCAAAGAACTTCAGGGAAATTTAATGGTTTTCAGGAACTATAGTGAAGCTCAGAGAACATCATGACAGATCAATTAATTTCAATGAAATTGCTGAAATTATAAAGGAGTTCCGAGAAACTCAGACAATTTCCGAAAACTTCAGCAATGTCCTGAGGGGCTCATGCAAATTTAGGAAACGTAAGGGAAGTTACATGAACATTAGAACATTGTGATAACATTTTTTGGGAAGTTCTTTCCTTTTTTTAATGCCAAGGTCGATAACTTTTAAAAATTAAAAAATTGGGAAGTTCAGAAAACTTCAATGCTGATGTTACAATAAATTCAAGAAAATTGTGACAGCGCTTAAGAGATTTCGTAATCTTCAAGAAAGTCCAGAGACCTTCAAAGATGATATTTCATTTATCAAAGGCTCATTATAATCAGGGAAATTCCAAGCGCTTCGAGGTTGACCAGAGAACTCCAAAACAGCCACTAATTTTAGGAAAATTACAAGAACTTTTAAGGAATTTCTAGGAATTATGCAATTCAGGAATGTTCCGAAAACTTCAGGGAAATTGCGGAGCCTTCAGGGATGTTTTATGAATTATGACCTTGTTTCTTTCAACTGTTCCGTAAGCGCTCTGGCTTCCGACTTTCTTCAGATGTTTCTTCCAATCTACCTTAGGAAGTTTCTGCCAGCGTCTCCAGGAAGTTTCTTTCGTATTCTCCAGGAAGTTCAATTAATTCTCCCAGAAATTTCTTTCGTCTTCTTCTGGAAGTTTGACCATAAGCCAAAGGTTTTTTTGTTCGACTTCTATTGGAAGGTTTTCCGAGCTTCTTCTGACTTTCCCTGGAAATGGCTACTTCAGAAAATTTTCGTCCGATTTCCAAAACTTTCTGGCTTCCTTTGTATGTGACATCCGTTGTTTTTTCCGATGGTTTATTTAAATGTTCGCCACAAGTTTCTCAATTCGTGCCTTGGAAGTTTCCCGGATGTTTTTCCAACTTTTCTTAGAACATTCCTCGAACTTCATCCAGGAGAGCTTCTTTCGTCTTTCCCTGGAAATTTTTTTCAGCTTCGTTCAGAAGCTAATTCAAACATTCCCCGGAATTTTCCGATCAAAGTTCAAAAGCTAAAATTTTGCTTTGATTAACGGCTTTCTCAGTCTTAAAACACTGCAGCAACTACGATGTAATCTGCAAGACATTTTGGTCATGGGTTGTCGCCTTTTTCAAAAGAAAATACTGTTTCGTCGTTGTTGTGGCTGATTTTCCATATTTTTGTTCATTTAATCATATTAAATTTAAAAAAAAAACTACTT